GTCCCCTCCCACCCCGAGCACCTGCCCGGCTCCGGGGGAGGAAGAGCCGGACGCCACCGGAGCCACCGCGTGGACGCGCCCGAGGCCAGGTGCACGCGGGCTGGAGCGCGGGAGGAGGCGGGGGCACGGAGGCGGCCGACGCCGGAGGGTCGACCTCCACCTCGTCCAACCCCGCACGGCCCGGGAGGAGCTGCCGGCTTCGCTCTCGGCCTCCCTGGAGCACCTGCAGCCTTCCTGCTGAAACTCCACCCACAAACATGCTGAAAAGCAAACAAAGCTAAGCGGCGCCCCCAACGCCCAGGCCGGGAGGAATCCCAGAGACCCTTCAAACCCAGGTGAGGGGCGCCCCGCAGTGACGCACACGGGGAACGTTCTGGAAGGGGGACATTGCGGGGACGGGACCTCCTACCAGGGGAATTTTAGGAGCAAGACTATTCTAGAAGGGGGGCCATTGGAAGACAGAACATTCTAGAAGGGGACTAATTCGGGGACAGGCCATTCTAGAGGAGGACTATTTAGAGTCAGGACATTCTCGAGAGAGAGTAGGAGAAAGATCGTTCTAGAAGGGGATATTTGGGGACAGAACCTACTGGGGGGGAATATTAGGGAAAAGACCGTTCTAGAAGGGGAATGTTTGGGGACAGAGCCTTCTAGAGGGGGCGTATTGGGGACAGAACACTCTAGAAGGGGAATATTTGGGAAACAGAAGATTCTAGAAGGGGCATATTAGGAAAAAGACCATTCTAGAAGGGGACTATTTGGGGACAGGACATTATCGAGGGGGAGCACTTGGGGGACAGAACATTCTAGAATGCATTCGAAAAGGTGAAGGGAACATGCCAGAAGGGAGCGTCCTAGAAGGGGCACAGAGCCTTCTGGAAGGCAGATGTATGGGTCAGGCTGTGCCGCTCTCCGGCTCTCCTCTTGCATAGCTCGGGGACCCTCCTGGTCCCGACAAGGCAGCACCGCTGGCGCCGCCGCCCCCATTCGGGCTCCAACACCGCAGCTCATGTACCTGGAGGCCAGGCGGGTCCCCCGGCCAGGATGCTCCCCACCCCCTGTCCTCAGGGCGGCCAGCAGATCAGCCCTGTGTCGGTCCAGCACCTCGAAGAACGAGGCCTCGGGCCCCATGGGCGCGAAGGCCATGAGAGGGCCGGCGGCGACGCGCCCTCTCGCTCTCCACAGAGGCCCGCGCCTTTCCCGCCTTTTCTCGAGGGCAGCGCATGCGTACGGTACACCCCCTCCGGAAGTGGGCGGCGCGTGCGCAGAGCATTCCGCCCCCCCCCGAGCGGTGTGCGCAGGCGCGGGACTGAGGGGGGCGGGGTGCCTGCTCCCACGCTGGAGGTCTGAGTCCGTCGCTTCTCCCAGCAGCCATGGGCGATGGGCCAGCACGGCTGAGAAGGGAGACTGAAGTTATGCGGCCTGCTTGGGACGTTGGAGACGGATTTCCTTGAGACGATGTTGTTGTTTTAGGGCAGCCTATTAGGGAAAGTAGCATTAGACATGTGCCATTAAAACCAGCAAGTGTGACGATCCAGCTAGGCCCGCGTGCAGCGGTGATGGAGGCGTGCGATTCCCGCCCGGGTTGACATTCACGCGGGAGTTGGGGCTTGCAAAGGCCACCTCGCTCGGCCTCTCTTCTAATTCCCTGAACCCCTGGAAGGTCCTGTGTTGCCATCCCGGTTTTGCAGGAACTGAGAAAAGTCTACACAGGCCAGGCAGACTCGGGTTAAAATCCCAAGCCTTGGAAGGCTGAGGTGGAAGGATCGCCGAGCCCAGCAGGTCGAGGCTGCGGTGGCCATGAGCGTTGCCACTGCACTCCAATCTGGTTGACAAAGTGAGACTCTGACTAAAAAAAATATATATCCCAGGCCTTCAGGCAGCCAGATTTAGCCGATTAATATATCAGGCAATCCGTTAAATTTGAATTGCTGTTAAACAACAAATATTTTTTATCTTGGGATAACTGTGTCTCATGTAATACTTGGATGTACTTTTACTAAAAAGTTATTTCATAGTTGAGTGCGGTGGTGCACACCTGTTGTCCCACCTACTCGGGAGGCTGAGGTGGGAGGATCACTTGAGGCCAGGAGAACAGGGATGCAGTGAGCTGTGATGGGACCTGAATAGCTGCTGCTCTCCAGGCTGGGCAACATAGTGAGACCTTGTCTCAAAATAATAACAAGTTATTTTGTTTATCTGAAATTCAAACGCAGTTGGGCATCCTGTATCTGACCTGCCAACTCTGGCATTACCCCACATCCTTGCATGAGTGATGCCTTCGCCTCGCTTGCTCTAGGCCTTCTGGGGCAGAAGATAGGATTTCTGAAGCCCCAGGAAAGGCGTCCTGACTCTGGGAACAAGGTCCCTGAGATACAACAGTGGGGCGAGATCCTGGAGCAAGGAGGCTCTAAGGCCTTTGGGGGCCTGTGCTGCATGGGTGGGGTGCTGGGGACTTGTCCCACCTGACCTCGGCCCACTCCAGAGAACTGCTTTCTGTTCCTTCATTCATGGTTACCTGATAGTTTTCCATCAGAAATGAGGGGCTTCCTGTGTTCAAACTAATGGCTGCCTGTGTTGATGGCCCTTCTCCACATGCCAGATCCAATGCAAAACAAAAGGTCCCGAGCTGGGTGGCAGCACAAGAAAAAAACAGTGTTCAACCTGGATTCCTGTGGGGAGAACCTCAGGAATGACTTGAAAGGGCCCAGCAGGACTCCCACTGCACAACACGACAAGGCGGGAGAGTTGGTGCCTCCTCCCAGCAGCCGCCCCCGCCTGTGCCCCACAGATGTCCTGCTACCCATCACTGGCAGGCCCACCCCCTCCACGTCAAAGTCAATGGCCCCAGCCCCAAACTGTGGGGGAAGGAGCCAGAGGAACAGGTCCAGCCCCAGCAACAGATGGTGATACTGGCAGGGGCCAACTTGCAGGGCAGTCCTGATGCTGAGTCCCTTCTTCCTGAGACCAGCTGTGAGTCTCCCCAAACCCCACTAGTGGGCCTCCCCACAAACCCGGCCTAAGGCCCAGACACCTGTCCAAGTGCCAGGACCTTGGTGCAGGGTGGAAAAGAGTGTTGTCCATGTGGGGCGCCATGAACATTTTCCCTCAACAGTCAAGACAGGAACGAGGGAGGAAAGGCAGGGGCAGCCCTGAGACATACCAGAGAGGAGAGGATCACTTGCTGGTTGCATTAAACAAGGCAGTTCCTTTAGCAAATGGAGACAAATTTTAAAATGTTTTAAAGATTCTTGAGAGAAAAGAAATAGAGAATTTTTTTTTTTTTTTTTTACTTCTGGAAGGTTGATGAGGCATGTTTTAAAAAGTTTTTTTGTTTGTTTTTGAGTTGGGTCTCACTCTGTCACACAGGCTGAAGTGCAGTAGTATAATGATGACTCACCACATTGACCTCCTGAGCTCAGGTGATCCTCCTGCCTCAGCCCCCTGAGTATCTGGGACTACAGGCATGCTCCACCACACCCAGCTAAGTTTTTGATTTTGTGTAGAAATAAGATCTCGCTATGTTTCCCATACTGGTCTCGAACTCTTGGGCTCAAGCAGTCCTCCTGCTTTGGCCTCCCAAAGTGCTGGGATTCCAGGCATGAGCCATCACACGTGACCATCACTTATTTTGAGAGAGAGTGCCATAAGCACTACCATGGACCAACACCAGCTTCTGTGACTGTTAACTCATGGCCAAACTTTTCTCGTCCACATCCACCCCTTTCCCCTCCTCCACACCAGATTATTTTGAAGCTAGTCCCAGGCATCTTATTGTCTCATCCGTAAGTGTTTCCGTATGTATCTCTAAAAAATGAGGACTCTTAAAAATATTGTAATTCCAGGCTGGGCAAGATGGCTCAAGTGAGTTGGAGTCTCACTCCATCACCCAGGCTGGAGTGCAGCTCACAGCCACCCCAGCGTTGACCTGCTGGGCTCCGGCGATCCTTCCACCTCAACTGGAACTACAGGTGCGCGCTACCATGCCCGGCTAATTTTTTATTTATTGTAGAGACGAGGTCTCACCAAATTGTCCGGGCTGGTCTCAAACCTGCGGGCTCAGGCAGTCCTCTCACTTTGGCCTCCCAAAGTGCTGGGATTACAGGCTGAACCACCGAGCCCGGCCATATTTATTTATTTTATAGTGACAGGATCTTGCTCTGTTCCCCAGGCTGGAGTGCAGTGGCTTGACCTTAGCTCACTGCAGCCTCCAACTCCTAGGCTCTAGTGATCTTTCCACCTCAGCCTTTCAAGTAGCTGGGACTACAGGCATATGCCACCATGCCTAGCTACGTGTGTGTGTGTGTGTGTGTGTGTGTGTTTGTGAGAGAGAGAGAAGGTGTAGAAAAGGTCTTACTACGTTATCCAGGCTGGTCTCAAATTCCTGGCCTCAAGTGATCCTCCTGTCTTGCCTCCTAAGGCGCTGGGATTACAGGTGTGAGCCAGAGCACCCAGCCTGGAATTTTATGTTTTTTGACCCCCAGATCTCCAATCCACCAGCCCCAGGCTCTGGTGACCACCATGCTACTTCTGCTTCCCAGCATCTGAGTTTTTGAGATTTCCCATGTAAGTGAAGTCATGAGGTGTTTATTTTGTTTATTTTCATGAAGGTGCAAGTAAGGTTCAGCCATCCATGGCTGTTAGTTGATCCACCTCCTCGATTTTAGGTTCTTCTCCACTTTTCTTTCCTTGCAGTTCATTTGTTGAGGAAACCAAGTCATTTGTCCCAGTGAGTTTTGTGCAGTTAAGAGCTTGTGAGGCTGCCATGGCAGCTCACACCTGTAATCCCAGCACTTTGGGAGGATTGCTAGAGCCTCGTCTCTACAAAATAAAAAAATGAGCCAGGTGTGGTGGTGCACGTCTGGAGTCCCAGCTACTCGGGAGGCTGAGATGGAAGGATCGCCTGAGCACAGGAGGTCGAGGTTGTGGTGAGTCATGATTGTGCCACTGCACTTCAGTCTGAGTGACAGAGTGAGACCCAGACTCAAACAACAACAACAAAAACAACAACAAAAGACAGTGTGTGAATTGCATCCCTATGGCATCATTTAACATGTTTTTCTGTTCCAAGTATTTCTTGTGAATTGGGGTTGGGTTTAGAGGCTTAACTGCTTCTAGTTTGATTTTTTTTTTTAATTAAAAATATTTCACAGGACTAGGCGCAAGAGATCCTGCCTGTCATCCCAGCACTTTGGGAGGCCAAGGCAAAAGGATTGCCTAAGCCCAGGGGGTCAATACTAGCTTGGGTAACTTGGCGAAACCTTGTTTCTACAATTTAAAAAACTAGCCAGATATGGTGGCATGCACATGGAGTTCTAGCTACTCAGGAGGCTGAGGTAGAAGGATTGCCTGAGCCCAGGAGGTTAAGGCTGTAATGGCTGTGACTGTGCCACTGTCCTTCAACCTGGGCAACAGAGTCAGACACTGACTCAAAAAAAGTGTGTGTGTGTGTGTTTCACAGGTGTTTTGAAATGTGTGGAACCTCTGTGATGACCTTACAGATCGCAGTGGCTGGCGCCTCCGGGCTGAGAACTTGAGGGCTAGCCTGAGCCTCTCATTCAAGGCAGTAGCAGCAGAGCCAGGGAGGCCAAGTCACTCTCGGCGAACCCTGCAGCCTGCAGATCCCCTCCCAGCAGACTGACCACACGAAGACCCTAAGGAGCGTCCAAGAAGCTGCCGTTGCCCTGCAGCCCCGAGTCTCTGTGCACTGGCCGGGAGGTCCCCTGCTGCCTGCTCACAGCCGGCCTGACTCATCCTCTGCTTTTATTCCTTTCCTTCTCACACCCTAGCTGGGCTGCTAATTGCTCCCCCACCCTCCCCCTTGGCAGGAGGTGCTGAGGCCGTGACCTGAGACACCCCACCACAACTGCGTCCAGCCTGCTCCAAAGCCCAGCCCTGCTTTATGTGAAAATCAGTCAACACTAAACAGACTTGCTTTGATTTAAGGAGACTTTGAAAAGTCTTAAGTAATTTTCCTCCTCCCCCTCTGCTTCTTATTTTTCTTCTTTTATTGTTTGTTTTCCATTTGTTAAGACCTTTTGACAATTGGTTTTGAGAGAAAGAGACCCTTTTGGAAAAGACCAGAAGGCATGTTCAGTGTCTAAAGCCAAGGTGATGAAACCCTGAAGGTGTTTTCCCTTCCAAGT